TGCAAACACTAAGCCCCAAGCCTAAAAGAGTTGCGACATCGGAGAGGGTGGGTCACGGCTACTGAAGGGGGTCGGGTGCAGCATGTAGGGAACTGTAGGGTCCATAAACGTTTAGGGTTTAGGGTTTAGGGTTTAGGGTTTAGGGTTTAGGGTTTAGGGTTTAGGGTTTAGGGTTTAGGGTTTAGGGTTTAGGGTTTGGGGGTCTAGGGTTTAGCGATCTATATTCACAAAGGCCTCTGTCTTGAGAATGTTGCACACCATGACTCCATGACCACCCTGCAACCTATCCGCCACTGCACATGCTGGAGGAAAGTCATTGTAGCCTCTGCGCGCTGATCATCTGATACCATACATCCCACAGCCTTGATTGTGCGAACCCTAACCCTAGACCCTCGACCCTGAAACGCAAACCCTAAACCCTAAACCCTAAACCCTAAGCCCACCTCTGGACCCTTGCCTTCCCACATGCTCTGACATTCATGGTGAAGTGAGAGCAGTTTTGGAAACTGCGCTGCCCGACATGGTGTGGTCTAGGAGATCCTCATGACTCACAGCTTATAGTTTAGGGTTTAGGGCTAGGGTTTAGGGGTGTAGGGTTTAGGGTTTAAGGTTTAGGGTTTTGGGGGTTTAGGGGTTTAGGGTTACATTAGGGTTTAGGGTGTAGAAAAAGGAGTTCGGTGCCGTAGCAGATCCCACTAATATGAAATAGGCTTCGGCATTGTACCCAGCATAAGGCAGCTGTCACGGGCGTGCTGTTCACCCTAAACCCTAAACCCTAAACCCTAAACCCTAAACCCTAAACCCTAAACCCTAAACCCTAAACCCTGAACCGCATCCGATGCGCCTCACAGCAAAGCGGCCTGATTGGGGCTGCGACCTCAAGCTGCAGTTTATTGCTTGTTTGGGCCTATGAAGGTTTAGGGTTTTCACGGTTCGAAATGTTTAAAAGGGGTTAGGGTCGAAGGTTTGTAGTGTGTACGGGGGGGGGGGGGGGGCGTTGCCCAGCAACCTCACTGTAATGCAGGCCGGGGCAGTTGCCAAACACGACCTCAATTTCAAAACATTCCAAGGGCTCCAAATAGAACACCTAAGTAAGGTTGAGGGTTTAGGATGGTTCATGAGCAGGTAGTAGTTTAAAACAGGGTTATTATTCAGCAGCGTAACTCTTGTTACAATTGGGGGGGGGGGGGGGTGGGGGGGGGTACCGTAAACCCTAACCCTAAACCCTAAACCCAAGGGTTTAGGGTTTAGGGTTTAGGGTTCGGTCAAGCGGCCCAACCACTGCACTCGACCGGTGTCCAGGTCGTAAATGCCGCCCTGGATGTCCACCGTGCCGTTCTTCACCTCGTGTTGCTCCCAGAGCCCCCCTGAACCCGGCCCAAGAGAAAGGGATTATGGAGTTTAGGGTTTGGGGTTTAGGGTTTAGGGTTTAGGGTTTGGGGTTTGGGGTTTGGGGTTTAGGGTTTAGGGTTTAGGGTTTAGGGTTTAGGGACCCAAGAGTAACCTGGTACTAAAGCAGCTCACCATTTTGGTTTGAGAAGGGACTTGTAAGGGAGCCCAAACCCTAAACACTAAATGGGGGCCTACTCCGTGTCCTAGGCCCGCTGAACCCCGAGACTCCAAAACCCCTTAATTAAGGAATATACCTTAAATCATATTAGGGTTCCTATTGTAATTTAAGGTATATTCCTGAATTAAGGGGTTTTGGAGTCTCTGGGAACCCCACACCCGAAGCCAAAATTCTGCGAACCAAAGTCGTGGCTTGGGATGTTTCACCCCCATACTAACAGTCCTTAAGAGGGATTAGAGGTACCCCCTTCTTCTAATCCCTAATTATTCAGGACAGTTACTCTAATGCCTATTAAGGACTGTTATTCTAATCCCCATTGCGGACTATTCTTCGTATAAGGCGCAGCATCCCAGCTCGTGGCAGTCTTGGCGTTAAGTGTGTCGTGTTAGCGGAGAGGGGGAGAGCAGCTGGGCAGGGCGGGGGTTTCAGGCTTCCATTCTGTCCATGGTGTGAAGCCCTGCAGAATAGGTGGAATAGCCAAAAGCTCAGGGTCTCAGAGCCGAACTTCAACGATTTGCCTCGTCCCCCTGAACCCTGCGCCCACAGAGGACAGACTCAAAGGACGTTGACACAAAAACACGGAAGTTCAGTGGCGAAGATCACGGAGGGAGTCCCATATCGGATAACAGACATTCGCCTCGTGGCCTCGGGTCTTGGTTTATACATACATATATCCCTGCGGGGTCCCACATGAAACCAACAACCCAACTGGACCCGCCGCCCCAAACAAGGGAAACAAACAATAGGCAGGAAATAACGATGCCTCAATCCTCTCTCTCTCTCTCTCTCTCTCTTTTGTACCCAATCTTCTGTTGTTACCCACCTTGTCGCGGATAGTCGAGCTTCCCTTGATAAGATTGTCGATCGTGTTGAAGACATTCACCTTGACCTGAGAACCAAAAGTCGGGCCGAGAAACGTAAGTTGCAGGTGCCTAGCCATAAAAGCTGCTACCCAAACACCTCAAGAACCTAGGAAGCTTCAAAGCTGGTAGCCAGATCACAAAAAGGGTGCCCCTTGTTCCTCTAGTTGTTTGTATCCATGATAGGGTTTAATTGCTTAGGTGTTTAGGGGTTTAGAGCTTGGGGGTGTAGGGCCTCAACCCTATACCCAGGAAACAACGAAACAACCGACCACCTTTCAAGGTCTCGGAGGGCCGGCGTGAACCGTTTCAGGCTCAGAGTTCCGAAGGCTTAGGGTGCGGGGGTTTCAGAATCGTGCTGGCACAGCTAAAGACCCTAAACTCTTAGGGTACTTGCATGGTCCCTGGATGTGGGCCTTACAACGGGGACCCCTTATAATATATAATCTACCCCTAATATACCTTATAGAAAGGCCCATGCATCAGAACCAAGGGTAAGGGAGCAAATTCAGGGCCCATGGCAGCCAAAGACCCTAAACCCTAGGCCCTAAACCCTAAACCCCGTTTTACCAACCGAAGCCCAAAACCAATCCAAGCTGGAGTTCGAGAAGGGCTACCACCCCGCCCTAAGTGCAAAGAAGCAGCTGCATGGTCCGCAATCTCCTCACGAAGCTGCAAAGCTGGTTAGGGTGGATTAGGGGTTTACACTCCTGGCACAACCTCGGAACGTGGAAGTTCCGCCATATACGGCAAAAGCTCTCCGATAAGAATTTGGAGCTTCGTCATGTACACCAACCGCCCCTAAACCCCCACTCCGGAAACTCAACCCTAAACCCCAACCCTCTAAAGTTTAGGAGGCCCGACTCCGGAAACTCAGAAACCCTCAACCCGAACCCTCTACCCAAAGGCTCCAACGTGGTTCCTTTTTGGGTTAGTTATAGGGGAGTCTAGTATGCTACACCAAAAAGGTACTACATAGGAGCCTCTGGGTAAAGTTTAGGAGGCCCAATTCCGGAAACTCAGAAACCCTAAACCCTAACCCTCTAGAGTCTAGGAGGCTAGACTTGAGGGATTGGGGCTTTTGGCCCCCCCTCGCCGCCCCCGCCGCCCCTCGCACCTTCTCCGAAGCGTTGGACCCCAGCTCCTGCGACTTGGGTGAAGCAAAGGTTTGAGGGATGAGGGTTGGGGGGCGAGGGTTTACGGTTTAGGGCTAGGGTTGACTTAGGGTTTAGGGCTTAGGGGTTGGAGTTTAGGGTTTAGGGTTGATTCAGGGTTTAGGGTTGAATTGGGGTTTAGGGTTTAGGGTTTAGGGCTTAGGGCTTTAGGGCTTTAGGGTTTAGGGTTTAGGGTTGAAGTAGGGTTTAGGGATTCGGGTGGAATTAGGGATTCGGGCTTAGGGTTGAGTTAGGGTTTAGAGTTGGTTTAGGGCTTGGGGCTTAGGTGTAGGTTTAGGGTTCAGGGTTTAGGGTTGAGGGTTTAGGGTTGAATTGTGGTTTAGGGTTTAGGGTTGAATTCGGGTTATTAAGGGAGGGTTTAGGGTTTAGGATTTAATTGGTTTTAGGGTTTTTATAGGATTAAGGTTTAGGGTGTTTAGGGTTTAGGGCGGGAGCCCAGCACTGGTCACACCTTCCTCCCCTAAACCCTAAACACCCTAAACACCCTAAAAACCCTAAAAACCCTAAACCCTAAACGCCCGAAATGCCCTAAATGCCTCAACCTCCCAAACCCGAACAGCTTTCGAGCCCATACTATAGGAGGCTTAATAATTAGAATAAGGTTTTGGGGGTTTCTACAGTATATTTACAGTGGGACCCTGAGGGAATAGTATTGGCAATTATACCGACCCCTGCATTACAACCCTCGCACCCTCGTCGCGGCCTTGGCCGCGTTGGCCGCCACCTTGCCGAGCTCGACCAAGAGGCCCTCAAGCGCGCCCTTGGCCTCTTAGGTTTAGGAGTTTGGATGGCTAAGGGTCTCGGAGTTAAGGAGAAGAGGATCCTCTTAGGATTCAGGGCGTGTAAGGGGTTTAGGGTTGAGGGTTGAGGGTTTAGGGTTTCAATAGAGGAGGACACCTCTTACTCTTACGGTTTAGTACGGTGTTTTAGGCAGCGTTTAAGGGGCTAGGAGGGTTTTTGGGCTTAGGGTTTAGGGTTTAGGAGAGGAGGATTGCCTGTTACTCTCTTAGGGCTTAGGGGGTTTCATAGGGTTTAGGGTTTTAGGAGAGGAGGATTGCCTCCTACTCTCATAGGGTTTAGGAGTTGTTGTTTTTGTTTTTTTTGGGGGGATGGGTTATAGGGTTTAAAGGGCTTAAAGTTTAGGGCTTCTAGGGTTGAACGTTTCTAGGGTTTAGGGAGTTTATACCCAAAGGCTCCTATGTAGTACCTTTTTGGGGTAGTATACTACAATCCCCTAGAACTAACCCAAAAAGGAACTACATTGGAGCCTTTGGGTAGCGTTGAGGGTTTCGTAGGAGAGGGTTTAGGTGTTGATAGACCCCAGGACCCATCCTCATGAAGACTTTTGAAGGTGCAACCCCCAAGAACCACAACGAAACTACAAGGGTTTAGGGTTTAGGGTTCAGGGTTCAGGGTTCAGGGTTCAGGGTTCAGGGTTCAGGGTTTAGGGTTTAGGGTTTAGGGTTTAGGGTTTAGGGTTTAGGGTTTAGGGAAACTTGAGCCTTTGCGCCTTAGGGTACTCCAAGTACCAATGTAGTAGTAGGTTCCGTACATTCGGGCTTGTGGTTGGGTCGACCAACCATGAATCCTAAACCCTGAAACCCTGAAACCCTGTAAACACTTTAAACCCTTAAACCCATAAACCCTTAAACCCTGAAACCCTTAAACCCTGAAACCCCTAAACCCCTTCTTCAACTCTTCAGCCCTGAAACCCTTCAACCCTGAAACCCTGACAACCCAAGACCGGAGGGAAACCGCTGCTGGCCTCCTCTGGCTTCGTTCCCTTCCTGGATCACCAGAGAAGCTTGCAGAAAAAATCCGGGACCCCCTGACTTCCTGTTCTGGGAGAGTGTAGGGTCCAGGGTTCAGTAAGGTTTTCAGGGATCAGGTTTAAAGGGTTTAGGGTTCCAGCTAGATTGGCGCAAAGATGCTACATATGAATCGTCTTCGTCAACCCTGGCTCCCTGAACCCCTAAAACACCCCCCCCAACCCTCAAACTTCTGATCCCCTAAAGCCCCTATTAACCCCGAAAACACGTAACAACCCCTAAAATTCCTAGACCCCTAAAACCTCTCAAAAACACCTCGAATACCCCTACCCCCCCCCCCCCCCCCCCCGCCAAAAAAGTAAAAAAAAAAACAAGCCCCAAAAATCACCCCAAAAGCCCCAAACAAAGCCCAAAAAAAGGCCCCAAGAAAAGCCCCAAACAACCCCCCCCCCCCCGCCCCAAAACCCCCGCCAACCCCCAACCCCCCCCCCCCCCCGCCCCCCCCAAAAGAAAAAGCAACGCCACCAACAAAAACCTCTGGCAGGCGATAATAATAATAATAATAACAAAAGCCACAAAAAAAGAAAGCCAAAAACATAAAAACAAAACTGGTAGGCCAGGGCACAAGTAGGCGCCGGTTGCGCCCTTGATGGCCCCACAGGCGGTGTGGCCAAGCCTCAGTGCCATATGAGCTGTGCGTTCGTGAACTGATTGCTTCAGGGTTTAGAATAGGATTTAGGGTTTAGGGTTTAGGGTTTAGGGTTTAGGGTTTAGGGTTTAGGGTTTAGGGTTTAGGGTTTAGGGTTTAGGGTTTAGGGTTTAGGGTCTCGGGTTTAGGGGTTTTGCCATCTTTAATGGCCTTTCATGGCTTTCGTAAGGGGCTATTGAGGTTTGTTGGGGTGGGGGCCACCAAGCCTAAGTAACCCAAGAACTCGAAGGCAAGTCTCGGCGCTGGTGACGGAGCCAAAACTAAATAGAATGCGCCCGAAACCAAAAAACCCTTTTGAGGGGCCTCCTAAAAGCCAGGTTCAAGGTTTGGGGTTTCGGGTTTGGGGCCTAGGGGTTGAGATAGGCTTGAAGAGGGCGAATGGTCGGGGTGCGGAAGCGGACACAGGTCCAAGATTATGGGCAGCTCGCGAAACTTGATCTTCTTGGGCTCCCTAAGTATACGCTCCGCTCCTACAGGGAGGCAAAGTTTAGAGAACTGGCCCAAACCCCAAAGCCTGCTTCGAAGGAATGCAAGCGCAAATCACGAAGGCACTTCGGGTCCCAGTTGCACCACGACCATCTGCGTGCGGAGAGCGCTGACGCAGAACCTCGAGAAGTTTCTGCGGGGTCTGACTCGGGCCACAGAACACCCAAAACCGGCCAAAGCCCCAAAACCCTGAACCCTAAAAAGCCCTAAGCTCTGAACCCAAAACACCCTAAACCCCAAGCCCAAAGTAAACCCTACACCGCAAACCGTACCCTTACGGCCCCAAGAGCCAGGATACGAGGCTCCAAGTATTGGGGGTTTAGGGTTTAGGGTTTGGGGTTTAGGTTTCGTTCTTCCTTTTAGCAAAACAGCAAGCAGAGTTCCCCTGCTTGGCGCAGCTATCAACCAGCAAGGAAGAAGGGTTCCAAGCATGTGCTCCCGAACCCTACCTAGAGTGACCGGTGACGGGATGCCTCTTAAAAAACATGCACCGTAATTGTTTGAACATTTCTATGCCTTTTTATTGATGTATATAGGTTACTCTGTAGGTAAACCCTATTGTGTAGAGACAAAGTATAGATTCTGTCCAGTAATTGAATTAAGAACAGAAGCGCCCAGGCTTCTAAGGGACCTAGCCCAAGCACTTACCCTTCACAAACGTAATCCCTAGCCCTAGCAAGGGCATGCACAGCGTCTGCCTCCCGTCCCGAAAGAAGGAGACCTCAAATCGATCCCAGGGTTTAGGGGTTTAGGGGTTTAGGGGTTTAGGGTTTAGGGTTTAGGGTTTAGGGTTTAGGGTTTAGGGTTTAGGGTTTAGGGTTTAGGGTTTAGAGGGATTAGCTCCCTCCAGCCACATACACACGCAGCAAGGATCCCGAAGATGAGTTGGCGAAAGGGACTACTTCGCCCTGAACCCAACACTCGAAGCCCTAAACCCTAAAGCCTGAACCCTAAACCCTAAACCCTAAACCCTAAACCCTAAACCCTAAACCCTAAACCCTAAACCCTAAACAGCCGAAAAAACAGACCAAGGGCCTCCCTGCTGCCTTGCCCATGTGGTCTGCTCCACAAAAAATCGTCAAACCCTCTCAGCCCACCAAGCCCCAAGGGTCAAGGGTTGAGGGGTTTGGGGTTTAGGGTTTAGGGTTAGGGTTTTAGGGTTTTGGGGTTTAGGGTTTTAGGGTTTAGGGTTTCCGGTTTCCGGTTCTCACTCTCGCGCCACCAGAGACGAAGGCACTCGAGGCTGCCAACGACGCTTCCACGGGCATGGGTGATCGTGTTGCCAGCCTCAACCAGGTGTGGCACAAGGACCCCTAAACCCTAAACCCTAAACCCTAAACCCCAAACCATAAACCCTAAACCCTAAACGTCTCTAGGCTGAGCGCATCAATTCAGGTTGTCACGCTGAAGCTGCACAAGGGTTGCGGAGAAATTGTCGTTTCAATTGATCTCGCAACGCCACTGATGGGAGAAGTCTTTATCGCGCAACTTCTTCTTCTATTATGTTTGATTATCTTTCCGGTGACGAAGATCTTTCGGTGATGAGGCTTTCCGTGGCGAGCTATACATATGCTGAGAATGATATAAAACCAATCATGCAAAGTTTATGGTGCGGTTTGTGTTTTTGGCTTGATTTGGCATATTTAAAGCTCTTAACTAAAGATTGTTTCTCGGTTGGGCGCGCATTGGTGTATGTAGGTGAGATGTTCACCACAAGAACTGTATAGGAGTGCCTTTAGGTTTAGGCTGCTCAGACATTTGAGGCTGCTTTGAGGCTGTTCAGGGTTGAGGACCCAACATTCCATCATCAAGGATAACACCTTAAGCTGCTATCGGGATCCTCGTGGTGGGTCGAGGTCCTTGATTCTGGAAGGGAATTGGGCTCTCCGGGCAGTTACGAACCTTAGTCCTTCAATGCAACATGAAAGGCCCTAGGATTTTCTGTGGCTCTGCAGGAGTAGGACCCTTATCTACCCTGAACCCTAAACCCTAAACCCATGTCGAGCAGAGCGGCATTGCGCATGACAAAGAGATCGCCAGGGAGCACGTCGAAGACCTTTTGGGCGCTGGCAGTGAGCCCTCATCCAAGCTTTCCGCTGAAACCCTAAAATCCCCTAAACCATAAAACCCCCTAAACCCTAAACCCTAAACACTATAACCCTGCGCAGATTGAGCCGCACAATTTTTCTTACAGGCTTTAAGTTTTGAATTTGTGAGGTAGGTACCTTAAATCCCCCCTATACTTCCCTCCTTTGACGGGTTTATACTACGGTATCCCATACCAAAGTCGGAATGAAGGAAGTAGGTACCGTCTATCCGCCCTGAAAGTTCCACCGGGAATGACATCGCTTTAAAGATGCATTCATGGGCTGCCACTACTAAAGTACAGGTTTAGGGCCCTAAACCCTAAACCCTAAACCGGACTATGAACCAGTAAGATTTCTGAGACGGCCAGAGTGCAAGCTCCAGGGGCACGCGGGAGTCGGCGCAGCCAACAATCGCCTTGCAGCAGGCTGGCCGTGTGAAGCAGATTCTCGCTTTCTGGATAGTGATTAGGGTTCAGGGGTTAGGGGTTAAGGGTTTAAGGTTTGGGGTTTAGGGTTTGGCTTGGTCTTCGGTTTGGGAGGGCGTTCCGTGCGCAGTTTTGGCTTTTCCGCGCTACATATGTGTTTAGGGTTTAGGGTTTAGGGTTTCGGGTTTAGGGTTTAGGGTTTAGGGTTTAGGGTTTAGGGCTTTGCGCAACTGAGGGCCTCCCTCTCCCTAGCCCACACCTAAGCTTTAGTAAGCTAAGTAATTTCCCTAGGTTGGAGCCGCCTTCTCGGCAAGGCCCGTCCCCCAAAATTTCACAACGACCCTCCCCCTAACTGGGTTTAGGGCTTTAGGGAATTAGGGTTTGGGGTTTAGGGTTTAGGGGAAAACTCAGCCCAGTATCAACCCACAAGCTCGATCGCGGGGTGAGGACTCTACCGGGGGGGTCGGGGGCTGCAGGGCTTCATCTTTGGGGGGGTTTAGGGTTTAGGGGTTGTTGTTGCTTAGGCTTTGTTGTTTAGGGTTTAGGACCCTAAAGCCCAAAAACCCTAGGGGGAAAAACTCGCAAGCCCTCAGCACATGCGCAACTAAAAAAAGACCAAAGCGCTGTGTGGGGTGCTTGGCCGGCGGTGGCGAGCGCCTTGCCTTCAGGGTTCAGGGTTCAGGGTTCAGGGTTCAGGGCTCAGGGTTCAGGGTTCAGGGTTCAGGGTTCAGGGTTCAGGGTTCAGGGTTAGGGTTCAGGCAGGGTTTAGGGTTCAGGGTTAGGGTTCAGGTTTAGGGTTTAGGGTTTAGGGTTTAGGGTTTAGGGTTTAGGGTTTAGGGTTTAGGGTTTAGGGTTTAGGGTTTAGGGTTTAGGGTTTAGGGTTTAGGGTTTAGGGTTTAGGGTTTAGGGTTTAGGGTTTAGAGTTTAGGGTTTAGGGTTTAGGGTTTAGGGTTTAGGGCTTAGGGCTTAGGGTTTAGGGTTTAGGGTTTCAGCCCAAAGTATCCTATCTTCGTGTCTACCGAGTACAGGGCCGTAGTGAGGAGGCTCAGGGTTTAAGGGCTTGAGGATTTTTAGGGTTTTGTAGGGTTCTGGCCTGAGTGGAAGTTCTCTGCTGGTAGTTGCTACTCACAAGATCTATCTGCTAAAGTGCTTTCTTATTTGCATGCTAGGTTCAATGCTGTAGGTGGGTTTAGGGTTTAGGGTTTAGGGTTTAGGGTTTAGGGTTTAGGGTTTAGGGTTTAGGGTTTAGGGTTTAGGGTTTAGGGTTTAGGGTTTAGGGTTTAGGGTTTAGGGTTTAGGGTTTCTGCTCTGTGCAGATTGTTATTCTAGCGCTTGCCCTGACGCCTTTTGTCAAGTTGCTCTGTCATGGCAGCCAGCTCTGTTCCCAACTTTACCTACGCCCGTGTGCAGCAGCAAGGCCGGACCCTCAAACCACACCCCAAAACAAAAAAAACTGAACGCTACAGGGTTTAGGGTTTAGGGTTTAGGGTTTTAGGGTTTAGGGTTTAGGGCTTAGGGTTTAGGGTTTAGGGTTTAGGGTTTTGGGTTTAGGGTTTAGGGTTTTTACATCCTGAGCCACAAACCCCAAACCACCCCTAAACCCAAAAAAGTCCAAAACAACGGCGGTGCAACTCGCGAGCACCCTTCCTCGAGTCGACGGCGTGCTCTGTCGGGGTTTGGGGTTTAGGGTGTCTAGGGTCTAGGGTTTAGGGTTTAGGGTTTTCTAGGGCTCTGGGGTTTTGGGATCTCAACCCCCAAAATACTGTAAACCCTGCAAAGCCTATAAGCCCCACAAGCCCTACAAACCCCATAAAAACCCAAGAAGCCCTGTGAACCCTGTAGTCCTATAAATCCTACAATCCCCATGCACCCTAAACCCAATGAACCCAGTATAATAAATCCAACAAGCCCTAGAAGCCCTATCCTTAAACCCCAAATTCATCCGGTTTTCTTGGAGGGGGGAGGGGGGGAGGGGCCTTTTTAGCCCCCTAAACCCGAGACCCGAAACCCGAAACCCTAAACCCGAAACCCTAAACCCGAACCCTTAGTGCATGGGGTGCATTGTGTATGAATGCATGGTGTGGATGGTGCAGGGCAAGTGCTCTGGTTTGGAAAGCATGCTAGCCCCCTAAACCCTAAACCCTAAACCCTGAACCCTAAACCCTAAACCCTAAACCCTAAACCCTAGACCCTAAACCCTGAACCCTAAACCTTGGAGGCTCCGAGCGGCGCATCTGCGAGTCGAGCTTGCCGGCCATGGGCTTTCCGTGGCAGAAGCCTCACTCAAGGGACAATAGGAGCGACCCTGATAAGGGATAGGGTTTAGGGTTTAGGGTTTAGGGTTTAGGGTTTAGGGTTTAGGGTTTAGGGTTTGGGGTTTGGGGTTTAGGGTTTAGGGTTTAGGGTTTGGGAGAGCATGTAAGGCACCTTTCTGGTTCATGGTTGGGATAGTTTCCATTCCTTATTGAGTTTAAGTACCATTGGGCAGACCGATGCGAAACATATGACTCCACAGGCCACAGAGCCATTCTGCTTGTGCCAATGTTCCAGCGTTTGCGGCATATGGCCTTGCTATTTTATGCCCTTCTAACCCAAAGGATGCTACTTACAAAACAGGTGATGCTGCCTGAGTTAACATCCTCATACAACCTTAAAACCTAAACATATGTATCTGAACATATATATATACATATGTATACATCTGCCCCAAACCCCAAAAAACAAATCCTCCCCAAAATTTCGAGCTGGCCCGTACACACTCGGCACTGGCACTGAGATTCCTGTCTGCTGATGAGGATCGGAAGTCTCCGGGTTTAGGGTCTATACGTTTTAGGTACACAGCGCAGCATGGAACCCTCACGCCCTAACCCAAGGGCTCCAAGAAAAAACTGTCTACTTGGGGGGGCGGATCTGAAGTCTAAAGGGTTAAGGATGTAGCGTTGAGCGTTGAGCGTTTAGGGTTTCGGGTATGAGTGTCACCTCCCTAGGTCAAGAGTGTGCCCCCGCAAAACTCAACTGTTCTTGCCAGATATCGTGGTTTTTTGGCACCCGGCATTAACCACCAAGAGAAACCAAAGAAACAAACCCAAAAGCCTAAACCCTTAAAACGAGAACCTGAACCCCTAAACCCTAAACCCTAAACCCTAAACCCTAAACCCCTAAACCCTAAACCCTAAACCCTAGGAGTTCTGTAGCATAACTACGCATGTCCCGCTCCACGTCCCAGGGGCGGTCGTTGCCATCCTTCAGCAGTTTCATCGCTGCCTGCGCGCAGTTCAGCTTTCTAAGCGGGATTCTACAGATTATATACCCTAAACCCTCAAACCCTACACCCTAAACCCTAAACCCTTGTATACCACCACAAAAAGAAGCAAGTACAGGCTAAAGGTCGGTTGCCCCGAAACCTGATGGAAAGACCCTGGTTCCCTTCGTTTGTTTTTCATGGCCTTGAGATCCTCGGGTTTAGGGTTTCGGGTTTAGGGTTTAGTCCTTTCTTAGGGTAGTTACATGGTCCCTTAATATGGGCCCTTAAACGGGTGCCCCTTATATACCCTTGATATGCCCCATCGGCACCTATGAAGAAGCCACGACCTTAACAGCCCTAAACTCTCAACCCTCAACCAAGCCCTTACTTTTTAAACAGGCGGCTAGCAATTAGGGTTGTAGCTCAGGCACAATGTTTCCCTAGTATAGCACCAAAAGGGACTACACGGCCCTAAACCCTAAACACTTAACTTCTTGGGGGCCTCAGTGCCTAATTATGTTGAAGCAAGCAAAGCGGTTCTCCCTCCAGACTCTAGACCCCCCCAAACCCTAGAAGCACTATCTTAGTTGCTGAGTTCATAAGCCCCTGAAAAGTGTACACTTTCAGTTCTATAGGAGAGCATAGTATCCAAAAAACTTGTAAAGTGTACTCACTCAGCTACCCTAAACCCTAAACCCTAAACCCTAAACCCTAAACCCTAAACCCTAAACCCCCCGAAACAAAACGCTGCCTCCGGCTTCATTGGCTCGTCGGCGGCCGTCCGGACCTGGGTCTGTGGAAAGAATGGCTTAGGGTTTAGGGTTTAGGGTTAGGGTTTAGGGTTTAGGGTTTAGGGTTTAGGGTTTAGGGTTTAGGGTTTAGGGTTTAGGGTTTAGGGTTTACAGGCTTTGAGGGCTTTTGGGATTTAAACGGGATTTTATACGATTTGTAGAATTTGCAGGGTTTTAATTAGGGTTTTACGGTCTTACGGTTTTAGTGTTTATAGGGTTCTAGGATTTTAGGGTTCTTTGGATGTTAGGGTTTACTACACGACAACAAGAACCTATGCTGGGTAGGATTTAGGGTTTAAGGGTCAGGGTAGTTCTCCAAGGGGATCGCCAAGTCTGGCCCCAAAAGACACCTTATCTGCCACTCCCCTGGTTTCTCGTCTGAAGCCTGCATATTGTTGTTTCCGAAATTAGGGGTACCTTCTTGGTCCTTACCCACTCCCTACAGTCAACTCTCTAAGACCCGAAACCTGTCTCCAAAGCCCATACTACAAACCCTAAACCCTGAGCGCCCATTCTCCGAAAATCTGGAACCCCCCCTAAACCCTAAACCCTAAACCCTAAACCCTAAACCCTAAACCCTAAACCCTAAACCCTAAACCCCCCCGCTCCACCACCACCCCCAAGCTCTAAACCCCTAAAGCCTGGAACCCTCCGCCTAGAAATCAAAACAAGAAGCACAAGAGCGCACTCCCCTTCCAGACTGCTTTGGGGGCAGAATTAGAGTATAGTGAAATCGAGTACTCGGGTTTAGGGTTTCGGGCTAGGTCTTGTGGTTTAGGGGGTAGGGGATTTAGGGGTTTAGGAGTTTAGGGTTTAGGGTTTAGGGCTTCAAGTCAGCCCCGACCCCCATGTCGCCTTGCCCTGCGCGATGCCCTCCATGGAAGGGGGCAGCGATGTCTTCGCGGCCAAGAGCTCCTTTGGTGAAGGTATAGGGTCATTTAGGGTTTAGGGTTTAGGGTTTAGGGTTTAGGGTTTAGGGTTTAGGGTTTAGGGTTTAGGGTTTAGGGTTTAGGGTTTAGGGTTTAGGGTTTAGGGTTTAGGGCCATTTAGGGTCATGTAGGGTTTAGGGTTTGGGGTTTGGGGTTTTGGGGTTTTGGGTTAGACGTTTTGGGCTTTAAGAAGTTTTTTGGGGGTCTTCAGGGAGTGAGAGTTTCACCACCAGGTCCAGGGTATATTGTAAACAGCTTGTAGTCGAAGAAACAAAGGACGATAAGCTGCTGGATTGGGCCATGGCGGATTGGGGGCCCTACTGCAGGGACTCAGGTTTGGGGCGTAGGGTTTGGGGTTCAAACCGCAACCCCGAGTATCTTCGGATTTGGCATAATTAGCTGCTTTCGGTGCTTTCTCTAAATGTTGCGGGCCGACAAACCAATGCCGAACAACTCTCACCACCTCAAGCCTTCCCCTAACGCATCTCACATGGCTGCAAGCGAGTGGTGCTTGCGAACAGACCCTAAACCCTCAACCCTAAACCCCAAGCCCTCAACCCTGACAGGAGTTCGGCGTGCCAAAGCCGAAAATCAGGCTCATCGTGCAGCCCCCCTCCCTTACTCCTTCTTAGCTCCGATTATAGACAGCACTTCCTCGCCTGTGTCAATCGACACCTTCCCTGGCACCTTCTACGCAAATTCACAGCTTTACATGATGTACCCTCAACCCTAAACTCGTTTGGACCCCACACGGTCCCCTGTGTGGGTTTAGGGCTTGGGCCCTTTCGTAGTCAGCCCTGAAACGATCATCTCTTCTTGGGTACCCCTCAGTACAAACAAGGGGCGGATTGGTAACAGCAGCAGGAAGCCTCACCCCCCCCACCCCCCCCTTTAAAAAAAATAAATACCTAAAGAACAGCCTTAAACTTCAACCCTAACCTCCCCCTCCCCCAGCAGGAACTGTAGAGAACTACCTTGAAATCTAATCCTGAACCACCCCTCCCCCCGCCCCTCCCCCCACGCTAGACCCTAAACCCTAAGTTTAGGGTTTAGGGTTCATCCCCCTTGGGCAGAGGTGTCCTTGTGGTCAGGGGCATGGCCCAGGAATTCGACACGGCCCGTCTCCAGGTGGTAGATGCCGCCTGCGGAGAGTTCTCAAGACAAACTTGGGTTCAGGGTTACCGAAAGGGTTTCGGGTTTAGGGTCTAAGGATCCGTGTACCGTATGAATATCAAATTCTCTATGCAGGAAGTACTGTAAGGCCCAAGTATTCCCAACTTAGGTACATGGACCCTTTCCTTAAGAACCCGAAACCTACCTGTTCTGTAGGTTACCTAACAACCCTATAAACAACATTTTATAAGAAGAAGGTACAGCAATAAGTAGGTTTAGGGTTCTTAAGGTAGGGTTAAGGTTCAGAGTTTTCTGGGCTTCTAGGGCCTTAGGGCGTGAAGCAAGGACTGACTCCACTGCTTTGGAGCTTCTGAGGGATCGCTTCATACTAGCCTGACCCGAGGTGCGGTAGTGGCAAGCAAACAGTTGCAAGGGTTTGCGGCTTTAGGGATTAGGGATTAGGGATTAGGGATTAGGGCTGAATTCGGGTTTAGGGCTGTTTGTGTGTAGATGTGGAAGCCGGCTGCCGGCAACCGAACTCCACGCTCCTAAACCAAACAAACTTAGTTTAGGGTTTAGGGTTTAGGGATTACCCTCGCCTCCTTGGACCCCAAGCCCTTGAACTCTGAAGCTGACATTTTGTCGGGACAAAATCAAAGCCCTATGCCCCAAAACTCTTGAAAGTTAGAGCCACCCTGAAACCCTTTCCGAATTTGGGAAATGCGCATATAGTAGACCTTAAACCCTAAACCCTAAACCCTAAACCCTAAACCCTAAACCCTAAACTTTAAACCGCAAACCCTAAACCCTAAACCCTAAACCCTAAACCCTAAACCCTAAGCCACACAAAACTATGCGGCCTTGCAGGTCCACCTGTCCGCTGCGAACGAGCTCCCGCAGAGGCTCGGAGTACTTGAGAAGGAAGCTCATGGTGTGGAATACGTTCACCTGCAGGAGCTTGGGTTCAGGGTAAACCCCAAACCCTAAACCCTAAACCCTAAACCCTAAACCCTAAACCCTAAACCCTAAACCCTAAACCCTAAACCCTAAACCCTAAACCCTAAACCCTAAACCCTAGGAGAAGAAATGGAGCGGGTTGGATGGTCTCGGGTTTACGACTCAGGGTGGGGTAACCCTAAACCCTAAACCCTACACCCTAAACCCTAAACCTGAGTACCAGGACATGCGTGGCTCTGGGGGTGGAAGAGTGCCCTCTCGAGGCCCCATTCCTGGTTTAGGGTTTAGGGTCTAAGGTCTAGGGTTTAGGGTTTAGGGATTAGGGCTTAGGGTTTCGGGTTTAGGGTTTAGGGTTGAACCCTAAACCCTAATAAACCCAAAACTGCACCATTGTTGGGTTATAGGGTTCTTAAGCGAAGGAGGTTCAAGGGGGGTATGTAATCCATTTTTCCCTAATACTTCCCACTACTCCCAATTTCTCCCCAAGCTTTCTTAAGGCTAGTTAGTTACCTACCCCCCGTGAACCCCAGTCCCTTAAGAGCCCCTTCATTGGAGTACTATTTTTCAACTGATCATTGTTTGTTCCTTATTGGGTTTAAGATGCAAAATGTTCTTTCAAGTGTAAGTATATGTAACATATCTGTATTCTTTCTGGCAGGGGGGGGGGGGGGGGGGCGACCCTGACAGGCAACCAATCCCATCTCAAAACGCTCCCTTCGGAAGCAGAACTAGGGCTAGCTGGGCTTTAGGGTTTAGAGTTCAGGATGAGAGAGAGAGAGAGAGAGAGAGAGAGAAAAGAGAGAGAGAGAGAGAGACAGAGAGGGGGACAGAAAAAGAGAGAGACAGCGGAACAATGGTAAAGGGGTCCTGGATTCCTCCGGTAGTGTAGACTCTGAACTTGTAAACAACTCAGCATGCGTGCTGAACCGGTTGTGTGTTTCCCCCAACAAATGGTCATCGGATCACAGCAACTTTGGAATCAGAGTTCTTATGTTACTTATGTATAAAGTCGAGTCCCTTAGCATTAATCCTTATCATGATAACTATGAAAAGCCCTGCAAGATGTTGAAACCTAAGCCTTGAACCATACGAGGTGAGTCAAGGAAGCTCATTCGTCAGCTAGATTCCTTTGGTGTTTATGGATTAGGATTCCGATCTGGAACCTCCTCCCCCTACCCTTAGTATCGTTTGGGGCGGTACTTAAGGTAATCAAGGGTAGTTGGGCAGGCTCACCCTTTGCCCCTGTGGCTACTCTGAACGCCTTCACGGCATGTGCGGCCAGCTCATCCACGCTGGCACCTTTCCCCAAGCTCTCGCTCGCCTTGTGACACCGCCGCGGGCTAGGGTTGATTGTTTGATGTGGTTCAGGTAGGAAGAACTCCCGTGGTGAGTTGCTGATGACAAGAGTGGGATTCCAGTTTACGGTTTAGGTTCTAACAGCACGAAAGACAAGGTATTAAGAGGTTCCTGGATCTATACTTATCTAAGAAAGTTATGTACGGTTGTACGTATGACCCTACTTATAGCTACCCGTGAAAATCCATGCAGGGTCTTGGGCTGCTAGTAAATAGAAGTTCAGTCTTTTTGACTTTGCTGAGGAAGATGGAAAAGAAACTCAACAAAGTATTGAATGAAGAAGATGGCAATGAAGCATCTGAATGACAGGACAAGTTGCGCCCCACCCAGCGGGCAATTCGACAGTAGGAGGTGCGGGGCCGGGGGACAAGCTGGGTGGTTGGGCTCTAGCGTCTAGGGTTTAGAGTTCAGGCTGACAAGGGTGAGGGTGAAAAGGTGTAGGATTCATAGGTGTAGGACTTATAAGTGTAGGGTTTATAAGGGTGAGGGTTTATAGGTGTAGGATTTATAGGTGTAGGATTCATAAGTGTTAGGGTGCAAGGCTTAGGGTTTGGGCTTGTGAGCTTGTGCGCCGCTGGCGCCTGAGCAGCGACTTCAGAGAGATCCTTCAGCAAGCCCTCGAGGGCGCTGCCTTACGTATGAGAGTGCAGAAAAAGGGTTTAGGGTTTAGGGTTTAGGGTTTAGGGCTGAGGACCCTTGGGGGTTGGAGGAATCACGGTTTGAGGGCTTCAGGGTAGTAGGGGCTTGAAGGCTTTTCGGCTGGCTCTCTTTCAGTTTGAAGTAGACATTCCTTGAGGGGCCCTAAACCCTAAACCCTAAACCCTAAACCCTACACCCTAAACCCTAAACCCTAACCCCTAAACCCTAAACCCTAAACCCGTATTGGGCTCTCTCACGTGGCATGCTCTGGAGTGCACAAGGGCGTGAGCCTTCCATTGAGGAGGGTTTAGAGGCATGGAGCGAACAACATCCGAGCTTTGCCCTGTAAAACCCTCTGACAAGTATGGCGAAGTTCCCGGAGTAGGGGCACCCTTTGTTAGGGTCCAGTATTTGTTTGGTTGGGCTATCTTAGGGGAGCCCTGTTTTGAGAAACACACCCTGAAACATCAACAAGGGTATATACATGAAGAAAAAACTGAAATTCACAAATAGAAAATATAAATAGGTATATATGTATATATGAGGGATTGAGAACTCGTCGGGAAAGAGAAGCCGTGTATGGTGTGGAAAGCGATAACGTTCCTGGTGTAAGGGCCATGTTGAATATAGCTGGCCCGCCACAACATGAAATACCACCAGCGATAAGGCTGCAGAACGTCAGATTCCGTCAGAATCCAGCCGGGTCATGCTCGGCTTCAGTACTAAGCCACTACTGAAAATCAACGACAATCCAGCCGGATCATGAAAACCTCGATTCCAGTCCTAAGGCAGTAAGATAAGGCTTCCTTGCAAAACAGGTGGGTCTAAGGCTTAAAGGGCTGAAAAGGAGCTCCGAACTCCGAACGAGCCCGCACGAAACCTAAACCGAAAAGGGGAGAAAACGAGCCCAGCGCACACGAAACACCCTAAACCCAAACCCTAAACCCTAAACCCGAAACCCTGAACCCTAAACCCTAAACCCTGAACCCTCAGCCCTAAACCCCAAACCCTAAACCCTAAACCCTTAACCCTGAACCCTAAACCCTAAACCCTAAACCCTAAACCCTGAACCCTAAACCCTAAACCCCACACCCTAAACCCAAAACCCCGGCCTGCAGCGGTCTCCTTCTTGCCGTCGAGGAAGGTCTTGGTGGCGCCGACGATGGCGCCGCACTGAGTGTGGCCCAGGACCTTTCTGACTGTGGGTTTAGGGTTTAGGGTTTAGGGTTTAGGGCTTAGGGCTCAGATTCCGGCCAGGCACTACAACTCTTATAATAAGGGTACCCTTTTTTGGGTTTGGTTGCTTTACCAGGGAAATCTGAGCCGAACAAAAACAATGGGTAGAGGGTACCACTGGGCTACAAAGTAACCCTGAACAAACCCTAAATCCTAAACCCTAAAAACCAAGTAAACTAGGAGTTTAAAAGGGTAAGTACTCCTCTTTACTCATAAGGGAACCCCAAAACCCTTAAGCAAAAAGGGAAATGGGGGCCTACCCAGAGACTCCAAAACCCCTTAATTAAGGAATATACCTTAAGTCATACTAGGGTTCCCAACATGATTTAAGGTATATTCCTAAACCCTAAACCCTAAACCCTAAACCCTAAACCCTAAACCCTAAACCCTTAATTAAGGGGTTTTGGAGTCTCTGGGTACCAAAGTCGCAGGCCGGGCACCAGCACCAGGCGGCTCCCCAGCTTTCCAGTGCAGAACTCCAGGCTGCCCACCAGACTGCCTTTAAGGAGATAAGGGTTTAGGGTTTAGGGTTTAGGGTTTAGGGTTTCGGGTTTAGGGTTTGGGGTTTAGGGCTACTTATGCGTTCCAGAGAGTTTAGGGCTCGGGGTGTCAGGGTGTAAGCCTTAGGGTTTTAAAGTCTAGGCTTTAGGGGAGAAGGCTTAAGCACCCTAGTTGCAAGTAGATTGATAGGCCCCCATGGCCAAGCTGCTTGGCAAGCGCTCAAAAGTTGGGCTTTAGGGTTTAGGGTTTAGGGTTTAGGGTTTAGGGTTTAGGGTTTAGGGTTCTAGATTCATACACCCTTCTGAAGCCATACTAAGAATGATGATCCCAATTTGTCGTCCCCAAAACTCTGTCATAACCCCTGAACCTTAAAATATCCTGAGGATGCTGTAGAATAAAGGTGGTACAACAACAGGGTCGAGGGGGGGGTCCTCACTGTAAGGAACTGAAGTCGAAATTTGCCGGCCAACGCCACCAAAAACAAGTTAAAACTCCAAACCCTATTCCGTTTAGGGTGAGGGGTGTGAAGGAACCATGAATTTAATTAAGCTACAAGGGAGTTTCCGAAGGAAAGGAATGGATTCCCGCACATTGCACCCCCCCACCCCCTGCCCCGCCAACACCCACCCAGAACAGAGCCCGCCCCCTTCACAGAAACAACCTAAATCCTATGCTACGAAAAACCTGACTCTAAACCCTCAACCCAAAACCCGACACGCTAAACCCTAAGCCCCACCCTAAACTATAACTAAACCAGGCGCCAGACTGGAGACTTAGTGTAGCATCCTAAACCCTAAACCCTATACCCTAAACCCTATCAACTTAGAGGCCGGAGGCCTGAACCTGGGACTTGGGTCAGGGGTTTAGCGCTTAAAATTTAGGGGATTGGGGTTGAGGGATTGCTTTCTTGGGGTTGGTGTTTCGGGTTTTTGGGGTCCTTTGCCGTTTATGGGGTTGGGGTTTAGGGCTCGAAAAGAGCCGTTCTTTCGTCGGAAAGACCACGCAACACCAGCAAAGGAACTGTTTTGGGGCTGGTTTCTCATAGAGTCTCATCGCGCAGGAGCCTAGAGAAAAAGCCTCTAAGCCAGAACACTGCCCATGTGAGCCGTAGAGTGACGTCCCAAGCCTAAACCCCAAACCCCAATTAAACCCTATAAACCCTAAACCGTAAACCCTATAACGTCGAAACTCTAAACCCTAAACCCCAAACACTAAACTCCTAAAACCCCTGAACCCTGAACGCGCTTGACCCGGTTGCGGTGCCTTCAGCATGCGTGGCGGTGTTTCCGGCATTGCGCAGCACGAAGATCTCACCTGAGCTTCCGCACTTTGCCAACACAGGGCTTCGGGCTTAGGTCTGAAACCCTAAACCCTAAACCCGAAGCCCCCCCAAGAGAAGCTCAAGTAAGTTGCCAAAAGAAATGACATATTTTAAGTTCCTTACCAGGATGGGCTACTATGCCCTACGACCTCCTGAAAAGGCCCTCTATAGGGTTTTGATTACGGCATTACAAGGCCTAATGGCCTCTCCTGGTGTTCAGGGGTATAGGGGGGACCCCTGGAAGGGACCCTTAATCTTTCTCCCCTATATATAACCCCTTTATAACCCTTGTATAGTGGCTATGTATACCTAAGTAACTCCTAAACAGCCCCCAAAGACCCCCCTAAGGTCCCCAACAAGGGTCCCTCCTTTAGTCCCTTGATGGTAGCGAGAACCCTGCTTTCACCCGACTCTCCTCGGTTGGGGACAATCTGACCTAGCAGCCCCCTTGAACCCTTAACCCTATGCCTACACCCTCTAAAACGCCCCCAAATCCCACAAATCCCCCCAAACCCTAAACCCTAAACCTTAAACCCTAAACCCTAAACCCAAAACCCAAAACCCCAAACCCAAAACCCAAAACCCAAAACCCTAAACCCTAAACCCTAAACCCCGAATCTGTGCCACCCAGATGCCCGGCATGCAGTCGAACAGCGTCTCGATGGGAGCCCGCGAGTCCGCACCTGTCCATCACAGGTGGACTTTAAAGTAGGGTTTAGGGTTTAGGGTTTAGGGTTTAGGGTTTAGGGTTTAGGGTTTAGGGTTTAGGGTTTAGGGTTTAGGGTTTAGGGTTTAGGGTTTAGGGTTTAAGGTCTTGGGCTTCGGGTGGAGTTTGGGGTTTCGGGATTTGCTAGCCCATATCCCCGCAAAAAGGGTCTACAAACAAGCAGCGCAGTTACTATTATTGTCAAACCCTAAACCCTAAACCCTAAACCCTAAACCATAAAAACTAAAGCCTAAACCCTAAATCCTAAACCCTAAACCCTAAACCCTATCACTCGTATAATTGTGGACCACTTCGGGGGCCTAGGGCCGGACTTTATATGAGCTGGGCACAGGGCGAGTTCATAACTTAGCTGGTGGCCTTACCCTAAACTCCTACACCTTGGGATGTTGCACCTGATACTAAGCGTCCTCAATAGTGACTATCATAGCGGGTACTATATTCCCTCTTAAGGACTGTTAGTGTTAACATCCCAACCCTAAACTCCTAAACTCCCAACCCTAAACTTCTGGGGTTCAGGATTGACGGGTTTAGGGTTTAGGGTTTAGGGTTTAGGGCGACCTGACCCAAAACCCTAGACAGGGTTTGCCAACAGTGGGAGTTTCAAAAGCAACGGTGAAAAGGGGCTTTTACCCCGCCCATCCACCCCCCCCCCCCCTGTACGCCCCTTAAACCTAGTGTAACCCCTGTTCAGGAATCCCTGGCATGTTCGTTCCTAAACCCTAAACCCGAAACTCCAAAAAGGACCCCATGGGACACCTGCACCAGATCATCGCAAGGACTGCATCACTCTCTAGCCTTGCAAACGTGAAACCTCACATGTGCCAACACATGTTCGGGTTTAGGGTTTAGGGTTTGGGGTTTAGGGTTTAGGGTTTAGGGTTCGGGGTTTAGGGACTTTAACCAGGTCCCGCCCAAGAATCTAGAAATTCCATGGGAATCCTTGATCCCTAAACCCTAGCCCTGAACCCTAAACCCTAAACCCTATTTAAACCCTAAACCCTATTTAAACCCTAAACCCCAAACCCCAAACCCTAAACCCCAAGCATTGACAAAGAGGCGACGGAAAGGGGGGGGGGGGGGGGGGGGGGGAGGGACACCGAGCGCAACAGTCGCCCCTGCGACCGCTCTACATCTTCTAGACGTTTTCTACATCTTCTAGACGTTTAAGGCAACCCTACACCCGGGACCCTAAACCCTAAGCCCTAAACCCTAAACCCAGTTTAGGGTCTAGGGATGCGGTTTAGGGCTTAGGGGGGTTAGAGGCCTTTGCGGGGTTTAGGGTTTTAGGAATGGGGTGGTGGGGGGCGGGGGGGGGGGGGGGGGTGGAAGGAACTAGGAGTTATGAGGGTTTTGGTCGAGGCGTGAGCTATGAAAATTACGGGGGGGGGGGGGGGGGGGGGGGGGGAAGTTCCGAGAGATTTCTCATCAAAAGAACCTCAACGAAACGGTTCAGGAGCTTGAAGCAGACAGGACCTTTTAGAACTCTGAAACCTAAACCCAAAAAACCCTAGACGCAAAAGGTTGAGCGTTTAGGAACTGTATAGGGTTTAAGGGTAAAGGGGTTTAGGCTGTAGGCTTTAGGGTGCCAATGCTGCTGTGGCGCATCCAATCACCGCAGTGTGGGGGGCTTGGCCTTGCAGGAGGACTCTGATTTCGTTTCGCACCTCTAAGCGACAAAGTATGGGTCCCAATCGCCTGACAGCCGGAGGCCTACACCCTAAACCCTGAATCCAAAAACTACCTAAACATATGCCCCCTTGTGGCCTTGTTTTGGAGAGAAGATGGACATCTTCAACGGCGTATCTACATCGACGAGGTTTCGAAAAGGTATTAAGGACACCCGAACTTAGCAGCCCAGTAACCATGCCATGATAAGGGTTTAGGGCTTAGGGTTTAAGGTTTGGGGTTTAAACCCTTTTGGGGATTGGTTCCTGTATAAAAGGGACCCACGAATCAACAAAAAGGCACAAAAGGCGTACCCCTGGGCTACCGGGCGAAATACACTGACTAGTATAGGGGCCGAAATAATTAAAACAGGGTCTTGGGGGGTTATTGTGGTATAACCCTAAACCCTAAACCCTACACCTAAACCCTGAAGAAATAGTAGTTATTGCGGCCCCTATATTACTCAAGAGGGCCAGTACTTTGCGAATAGCTCCGTGAACCTGCTCAAGGCTTGGGGGTTTAGGGGTTTGGGGGTTCAGGGGTTTGGGGGTTTAGGGCTTTCGGGGTTTAGGGGTTTAGGGTTTGGGGGTTCAAGGGTTTGGAGGTTTAGGGGTTTAGGGGTTTAGGAGTTTAGGGTTTGGGGATTAGAGTTTAGGGCTTCAGTGTTTAGTGCTTACGTTTGCAGAGGAGTACACCTTGCCATGATATTTTGAGGCGTGTTGAGGATTCATGGGGCTCGGGGCTTCGTTGTTTGCCCTAGACCCTGAACCCCAAACCCTAGATGCATTTAGGGCCTGAACCCTAAACCCTGAAACCTAAACCCCAAACCCACTGGCGGCCTGATTTCACCAGCGCCTTGCGCATGGGAGAGTTCACCGCGGATGCCTGGGGCTCACCTTCAAGGCCGCGCTTGCAGGGGTTTAGGGTTTAGGGTTTAGGGTGTAGGGTTTAGGGTTTAGGGTTTAGGGTCTAGGGTTTAGGGTTTGGGCGGCTGCTTAAAGGATCAGGGGACTTAGTGAGTAGGGTTATAATTAGGGCAACTAGAGTTACAATTACTTCTAACCCCAAGTAGGGTACGTACTTATAACCTTACCTACTAAGTCCCATGATCCTCGAAGTAGGGAGCAGGGTTAGGTTTGGAGTTTCGAGGGATCTGGATTGAGTAGAGTAGATTTTCAACCATGAAGGGATATATAGAAAGTGCCACATCGGTTGGTGTTTAGGCTCTATAGGGAACCCCCCCCCCCCAATAGCATCCAAGACGAGTTCTGAGGAGTCTTGCTGTGACTTGACACTCGCGCATTCAAAGCTCACCCTAAACCCGAAACTGGTTCATAGTTGGGATGGTAGTAAAATTTTAAAATTTTATTCCTTATTGAGTTTAAGTACCCTTAAAGATGTAAAATGTTACCCCACTATGATAAAAGGAAGCCCTCAACCTTAAACCCTCAATCCATGAACGCTTCGAGTCAAACATGGGTACGGAACGCCGAACATTCCCATCATTGGTACCAACCTTCCCGCCCACCTTCTTCTTTGGGAAGCAAAAAAGAAGCATCTGAAGTAGGGTGTTTACTACGAGTGTCCCGCAAGAAACACCCCATGTATGCTATGAAACCCCCATATGCACTCACCAAGAGCAACATAAACCCTACCTAGGATGGCCCTCCCTCTGAAAAATATTCCTAAATATGGTCCTCTTAAACCCAATAAGGGAAAATATAAAACATCCCAAGGGCCTACCTAGCTACTTTTGAACAGTACAGGGACCTTAAAAGGTCCTAGTAGAACAGTAGAACCGCTGTTAGACTGTGGAGCGCTAGGGGGTTAGGGGAGAGGGTTTCCTGTTCCAAGACGGAGCCTTGTGCTTGTGGAGGGTTTAGGGTTTAGGGTTTGGGGTTTAGGGTTTAGGGTTTGGGGTTTAGGGTTTCGGGTTTCGGGTTGAGGGTTTAGTGCAGGCTAAAGAGGCACCAGATGCAACCAAGGCACCACGAACGTATCGATCGTTGCCTCAGCCAGGGTCTCCAGAGGCGCGCAGATGGGGGTTTCCGAACATAGGGGTGCTCCTATTAAAAGGGGTACCCCTAAACCCTAAACCCTATACGGTTTGAGGTTTAGGGTGTGGGGCTTCTCATTCGGGGCCCTTGCGCGATCCAGCCTGCACAGGGCCGACATTCATAAACCTTCTGCAATCCCCAAGGGTCGATATACATCATGATTATATACTTGGGCCCGAAAAGTCCCTATATAGGAAGTACTCTAAGGCCCAAGTATAGAATAATGAGGTACATGGACCCATAGGGAATGAGCCTTGTCAGGAGAGTTGAAAATGCCAACTTCGCAAGCTGGGTCTCTCCCACAAAGCCCTTTAGAATGAGCATCTGCCCGCGCTACAAATGTAATATAATGAGTGCATGAATAGCCCTGAACCATCTAGCGAGACAGTAAGAAAAGGAATGACATGGCATTTTGCAAGCGCAGGCGGGTCCTATTGCTACTTTCGGACAGATTCTATTGGCTTCTTGTCAAGAGTTCAGCGAAACAAGAATTCAAAGCGAAGCACCGGCTGGCGAACGGAACAAAACCAAACGGAGCATCCAGCCACACGGCTATTTGGGCGGGCTTGTCGCCCGCGATCTCTGGTTTGCACCGGCTTTTCGAAGGTTTTCGCGCGTTTTGCGGCAGAACTTTCACGGAATTTCACACACTCGTCTGCGAAGATCTCTGCACCCTATTAGGGGTTAGGGTATAGGGTTTAGGGTTCAGGCTTTAGGGTTTAGGGTTTAGGGTTTAGTGAATACAGCACGTACCCAACACTGATGGAGCTGCAAGACTAGGATGTCCCTGACAGCCCTTTTGAATGTGATCCACTTGAAGCTCGACAAGGGAGGGTTTAGGGTTTAGGGTTTAGGGTTTAGGGTTTAGGGTCTAGGTTTAGGGTCTAGGGTCTAGGGTCTAGGGTCTAGGGTTTAGGGTTTAGGGTTTAGGGTTTAGGGTTTAGGGTTTAGGGTTTAGGGTTTAGGGTCTAGGGGAAAATATCAGATGTCCCAAGAGCCTACCCAGAGTCATAGTAGTCATAGCTTTAATCATAATGGTAGCTATCATACTCATAATGCAAAACAAAAATGATAATAGTGAAGATGATGGCAGTAACCCTAAACCCTAAACCCTAAACCCTAAACCCTAAACCCTAAACGCTAAACCCTAAACCCTAAACCCTAAACCCTAGACCCTAAACAGTCAAGCCGCCCTCCTTCAGCTTGTCCAGTGCATCACCGGGTGCCATGGAGTCGTCGGCACCTCGTGGGGGGAGGGCTTAGGGTGGTGGGTTTCAGGGTTTAGGGCTTGGGGTTCCTAAACCCTAAACCCTAAACCCTAAACCCTAAACCCTAAACCCTAAACCCTAAACCCTAAACCCTAAACCCTAGGGTCTAGGGTTTAGCGGTCAACCCTGAACCTGTGGAACCCTAAGTCATCGTTGAACCCTAAATGGGTATTTCCCATACTGGGGGTACCTCCAAATAGACTAGAATCCCTTTGAGGGACCCCCCCAAGAAGGGTACCCCTATTTTCGGAAACGCTCAAGCCTGAATCCTTAACCCTAAGCCCTGTAGATTTGAGCTCTCTTTTTTTTTGGGGGGGGGGGGGGGGGGGGGGGGGGGGTGGTATTATAGTATAGTTACAAAGGGGCCATAAGGGAATACTCATCCATAGTTATTCCGACCCCTATATTCGAGGGGGTGCCCATCTTTTGAGTTCAGGGCCCAGGATCGAAGGGACTCCTAGCTTGTCCTGCAGCATCAGAATAGTCACCAAAAAGAAGCTCCATGTCACCAATCTACACTGAAGCTTTGCAACGACTCTGGCAAAACGAGCTTCCTTCTCCGTCTATGAGGCCCCGAAATGTGATGCCAGGCAGGCGAAATGCTGAAGGCTGTTGTGTCAAGGGTTTTTGGGAGACCTTGAAGCCGTCAATCCAACCCATACACCCCGAACCGCAATGCTTAAGCCCTAAAGACAGACCACATCTCCAGAGCACACGAATCCAGCTGCTCCTACCACTCCAACTAGATGGCATGTCTGCTCAAATAACTCAGCTTACCGCCGCTTAGTTACTCCAAGCATCAGTTTGCAACACAAGCAACACCTACTCCCAGAGACTCCAAAACCCCCTAATTAAGGAATATACCTTAAATTATAATAGGAACCCTAATATGATTTAAGGGATATTCCGTAATTAAGGGGTTTCGGAGTCTCTGGGCACCTACTGCAATCGCACAGACAGCAAGCAGGACAACGCTACATGCCCTGCCTGTGCGCACGCCGTAGACGCCGCGAAGCGCCGCGCCGGCCTTGCCTGTAGTAGGACATTGAGCTGCCCTGTGGGGTTTAGGGGGAGGGGAGCGCGGGGAGGGGGGCGAGGGGGGGGGGGGGGAGGGGGGGGGGGAGGGGGAGGGGGGGGGGAGGGGGGGGGAGGGGGGGGGAGGGGGGGGGAGGGGGGGGGGGGGGGGAGGGGGGGGGAGGGGGGGGGAGGGGAGGGGGGGGGGAGGGGGCTCAAGGACGCAAGGTTCCCCACTACTCCCTAAGACTCCCTAAGCTTCCCTACAGGTGCCCCATGAACCCTCCCGGTCTTAAGAATCCTACAGTCATTGCTCGTATTTCCTGTACGATGAGAGTTACCCAACCCTGAACCTATCTGCCCACAGGAAAAAACTCCCAAATAGCTGTGGGCTTGACCTTTCCGAACCCTATGGCTCAAATTGGGCATCCTTTCTCAGAACTGCTGTGGCTCTCTCCTCTTCTTAGCCAAGTCATGCACTACCCAAACCCGAAGCCCTAAATCCTAAATCCTGAACCCTTAATCCTAACTCTTGAACCCTATAAACCCTATAAACCCTAAATCCTAACTCTTGAACCCTATAAACCCTAAATCCTAACTCTTGAACCCAATACACCCTAAACCGTACACCCAGTCAGGAATTCACACTTGGGATGTCGAAGCCTCCCGCGTTGTGGGCGCGGACCTCCGGCCCTCAACTGTAGGGTTTGGGGTTTGGGGTTTAGGGTTTAGGGCTTAGGGTTTAGGGTTTAGGGTTTAGGGTTTAGGGTCTAGGGTTTAGGGTTTAGGGTTTAGGGTTTAGGGCCTGACATGGTCTCCTTGCATTCGGGCAACTCACTTTGAGGACGGTCGGCGGCATGGAGATCTCGGACTCCTGGGAGCTGGAGCTTTGTGGTTTGTGTCGAGGTTAGGGTTTAGGGTTTAGGGTTTAGGGTTTAGGGTTTAGGGTTTAGGGTTTAGGGTTTAGGGTTTAGGGTTTAGGGTTTAGGGTTTAGGGTTTAGGGTTCAGCATCTCAAGTTCGAGCATTTACTAGGCCAGCAGTGTATCTAGGCAACGGAAAGAACCCACCCGCCCAAAGAATCCCATAACATTAAGAAAATAGAAGGTTACTTATTTTCTCTTCGGATGCACCAATCACGCCGTAATACCAAGCACTTAACACAAGCCACACCCGGCCTTGAGGCCTTGAAACCCTAAACACTAGGCCTTGAGGCCCTGAAACCCTAAACACTAGGCCTTGAGGCCCTGAAACCCTGAAACCTAAATACTAGGCCGTGAGGCCGTGAAACCCTAAACAGCAGGCCTTGAGGCCCTGAAACCCTAAACACCAGGCCGTGAGGCCTTGAAACCCTAACCATTAGGCCCGGAAATCCTAAACACCTTTGGACGAAACGACCTTGCCCAGTAAAAAATGACCTCGCCCAGTAATGACCTTGCCTATAAAAAAATGACCTTGCCCAGTAAAAAAATGACTTTGCCCAGTAAAAAAAATAACCTTGCCCAGTAATGACCTTGCCCAGTAAAAAAATGACCTTGCCCAATAATGACCTTGCCCAGTAAAAAAATGACCTTGCCCAGTAAAAAAATGACCTTGCCCAGTAAGAAAATGACCTTGCCCAGTAAAAAAATGACCTTGCCCAGTAAAAAAATGACCTTGCCCAGTAATGACCTTGCCCAGTAAGAAAATGACCTTGCCCAGTAAAAAAATGACCTTGCCCAGTAAAAAAATGACCTTGCCCAGTAATGACCTTGCCCAATAAAAAAATGACCTTGCCCAGTAAAAAAATGACCTTGCCCAGTAAAAAAATGACCTTGCCCAGTAAAAAAATGACCTTGCCCAATAATGACCTTGCCCAGTAAGAAAATGACCTTGCCCAGTAAAAAGATGACCTTGCCCAGTAAGGGGATGACCTTGCCCAGTAAAAAGATGACCTTGCCCAGTAAAAAGATGACCTTGCCCAGTAACATTTTTACTGGGCAAGGTCATTTTTTACTGGGCAAGGTCATTTTTTTACTGGGCAAGGTCGTTTTTTTTTGACGAAACGACCTTGCCCAGTAAAAAAATGACCTTGCCCAGTAAAAAAATGACCTTGCCAAGTAAAAAAATGACCTTGCCCAGTAAAAAAATGACCTTGCCCAGTAACTCCTTAACATGTAAATTATATATGAAAGAGAGGTTTAGGGTTTAGGGTTTAGGGTTTAGGGTTTAGGGTTTAGGGTTTAGGGTTTAGGGTTTAGGGTTTAGGGTTTAGGGTTTAGGGTTTAGGGTTTAGGGTTTAGGGGACTATGTAAGGTTTCGGCCCCTGGGTTTTGCTGGTTGCAAAGGTGGTGCTTTGCGGGTGGCATTCTTTCAAACAGCAGTGCCCAAACAACGAAAGTTGAACAATTCTTCCTCTTTCTGGACTCCCCTAAACCCTAAACCCTAAACCCTAAACCCTAAACCCTAAACCCTAAACCCTAAACCCTAAACCCAGTATGCTGCAACAAAAGGCTGCGCAATGATCACATCACATGGCTGCCAAGATGCGAGCAGCTCCGCCTGGCCACAAAAAACAAGGGCTCTGGATGGGAAACTTGAACCCTAAACCCAAACCCTAACCCTAAACTCTAAACCGATTGTTTGAAGATGGGTCCTAATCCCTATCCAATAGAGCCCCTACGGGAGCTCCATGACCCCACCAACCCCGCCCCAAACATCATTAAATCTATCTATACTCCCCTTAGAACCTCCATCAAAAAAATATGTTTAATATCCTCTTGGGTTTTACATAAAAAACAAAAAACCCAAGAGGGATGTGGACTATAAGGGCCTCTATAAAAACCCGCCCGGATCTGAGCTCTGCTCAAGGAGACCGGGACCAAGCTAAACCAACAAATTCCCAAACCGCCAAGCTCCGCATCTAGCAACAGTCCTTAATAGGGAGTAGAATAGGGGGTACTAAAGTGCCTATTGAGGACTGTTAGCAGAAGGGGGAACATCCCAACCTATAACCTCAAGCACCACGCAAAATACGCTGCCATCCACCCTCTGCCTGCCGCGTAGACCTACCCATGAAGTCCACAACGCCAGTGGAGAGGTCGTAGACCGCGCCTGCAGAATCCCAAGAGCTGTTTGCGGCTTGAGGTTTAGGGAAAACATGAACACCTTTCAGAGCTGTGACCATACCCTTCGTAGCCCAGTAACCATATAATATTACAATAAGGGCACCCTTTGTTGGTTGGTTACTTTCTAAGGGAAACCAGAGCCAACAAAAAGGCAAAGGGGGTACCATTGGGCTACCAAGTCCAAAACGGCCATTGTGATCGCTCAGGAGATCTGCGACCAAGTCAAGTATGAGGCTAGGCCCAAAAGTTTAGGGTTTAGGGTTTAGGGTTTAGGGATAGGCGGTAGTGATGAGAAACACGCTGGATGCCAGCAGGATACTCACATGCCAGCCGCACCAATTCAAGGACAAATCAGGCCCTCAACCCTAAACCCTAAAACCCTGTAAACCCCTAAAACCCTAAAGCCCTATAAACCCTTTAAACCCCAAAACTCTATAAACCCTATAAACCCCATAAACCCTATAAACCCTATAAACCCTATAAACCCCATAAACCCTATAAACCCTATAAACCCTATAGACCCTAAACCACAGCTTTCAAGGGTCACCCGCCCCCGGCCTTGAATCTCGATCTGCCCGCTCTTCACGCCATCGCGAATGGCCTTGCCTCTCGGGTATTGTCTTCCCAAAATCTTGGAGGCCTTTCGGGGTTTTATGGTTTAGGGTTCAGGGTTTAAGGTACTCATATGCGGTATAAGGTTTCGGGTTTAGGGTTTATGGTTTAGGGTAATCATATAGGGTTTAGGATCTAGGATTTAGGATTTGTGCCTTAAGGCTTAGGACTTTATTGGGAGGATGTAGGCCCTAGACCTTAAGCCCTAGGCTCGACACCCCAGACCCTAGACTGTGACTGGGCGGTGGAACAGAAACATACAGGGATTCAGAACATTTTGGCATGCAATATCTGTGCCTGAATACTTAGAATAGCGTTTTTTTTTTTTTTTTGGGGGGGGGGGGTATTATAGTATTTCTATAACGAGACCCTAAGGGAATACTACCAGCAGTTCTTCCGACCCCTATAGTAAAGTGCAGGGACTGACGCGCTGAATATCCGGTGTCTGAAACAATAACAACACCAATCCTGCTGGCAGTAAGAAGAAAATAATCGCAAGAAGCCTACAGAATAGCAAGAAGCAAGATCATTGAAATGTGGGTCTTTGTGGGTTAGTGAGCCGAGCCAGTCGTTGGGGTTCAATTAAACCCTACACCCTAGACCCCAAACCCAAAAAAAATAAACTTTGGGTCGAGGTGCTGTGCTTCAGGAGATAGTCGATCGTGTGGAACACGTTGACTTTGACGGCGTGGGCAGCCACAAAGTCCTCGAAAGGAAAGTGCCCTTTCTTCAGGTCGAGGGGCTGAACCCTAAACCCTCGGGTTTAGGGTTTAGGGTTTAGGGTTTGAACCTCTAAGCCCTAAACCCTAAACCACACAGCCCCATGCCTAAACCACGAGCTGCCCTGAGCTGCTAGGTTTTGCAGCTCCTCCTCACCCCTCATTACGAGGCGCGCGACGCACGCTGGGTCGATGAAGCCCTACAACCCGCAGTCCAGATGATATCATAGATGCCCTGTATACCCAAAACCTACCCCCCCCCCCCCCATCCACCACAGATTCTGTTCCCTCAGCCCTGAACACCATGAACCCTAAATAACCCTAATAACCCTGAGCACGAAATTACTGCACTTTTAGCTTGCGCGACTCTTTGCACTAAGTTGCCCCTTCAGCTACGAATGACTCAAAAGGGTTTCGGGCATAGCTTCTAAGTTCAAGCAATCCTCTCGGCCGAAAACGGGGAACAAGGGTAGAGTACTGCTAGCCTCCAAGGGTTTTAGGGTTTAGGGTTTAGGGTTTAGGGCTGCAAAAAAATTTCAGACACGTGTGTCCTCATCTGCCATCGGGCCCATGTCATACTCGGCCTGGAAGCCCCACGCCCACTTAGAATCATAACAAACATATAGTCAACACAGGAGTTTAAGGCTTCGGGCTGAGGGGCAAATTTAATCATGAATGGGCCCGTCTTGCGGGTTTTTTTTTGGTTGCTATTGCAAAAGGAATGTGTGAATAGGCTTGACATTTTTATAGCTTAGGCTCATGCCAGCATTCTTATCTTGGACAAAACCCCGGTGTTGTTGTATTGTGACATAAGTTTGGGAGACAAGACAGGTTGGTACATACAGTACATACATGGGACCGTTCCAGAGCGGACGACCAATCTTTCCAGCAGCAGGTCACGTTTGGTCAAAGGGTTCTGAAGGGAGGGGAGTTCAAGGGGGTCAGGTGAGGGAGACGTGGGGAGTCTTAGAGAACCTTGGGCTACATACCCCCCTTAAGAACCCCCCTCTCTTAAGAACCCTATAAAATTTCGGGATTGTGGGGTATCCATCAAGTAGGCTCTGAGGGCGCCCTCTGTCGCTGAAGTCTAGAGTTCTAGGGAGTGTAAAGCAGCCCCATCTTTGCAAACTCCTCTGGGGAGCTGCGCGAGTTAATAGGAACCACATCGAGGTTGCCCAGCGAACAGGGATGTCAACAGGACACGTGCCGAGCTCGAAGTTTCGAAGTTTTTCGTGCGTGGTGTAGAGACTGTGGAGAATGTATATACTAGCTCATCCCTTCCCCTAAAATGAAATGCCCCCTGGCCCCTACTATTAGATACACCCCAATTATGGTTATACTATAGTATATTGGGGGGGGGGGGGTATCTAATATTAGGCGGTAGGGGGGGTTTCACTCTTAGGGGGAAGGGATTTTGGCTTTGGGTCGCCAGCCTTGGCAAGACTTTGCACTGTTGCGAGATATAGTTGCTGGCTCTTCCGTCAAGCACGGCGCGATCGACCAGTTAACCCTGAACCCTGAACACTAAACCCTGAACGCTGGACCCTCAACCCAAAACCCTAAACCCTAAACCCTAAACCCAACACCCAAAACCCTGAACCCAAAACCCTGAACCCTGAACCCTGAACCCGAAAGAGCTCTGAACGCCATCTTGCTGAGGGGTGTGGGGCTAATGAGGATATTGCAGGGACAAAGTGCGGCGGGATGTTTCTTGGGCCAAGAAATGTAAAACACCAATCGGAGGTTTAGGGTTTAGGGTTTAGGGCTTAGGGCTTAGGGTTTAGGGTTTCGGATTTAGGGACGTCTAGGCCTTAGGGTGTAGGTTGATGGTGGTTTGGTTGGGATTAGGGAACTATCAAGTTATATAGTGGTGTTCCAAAAATATGCTCCAAATGTGACAAAAAAGGGGTACTTTTGTTCGAGGGGGGGAGTGGGGGAGGAGGGGAAGGGGGGGGGGGGGGGGGGGGGGGGATTTCGGTGGTATAGCAAGGGAGATACTCATAGTCCGCCCTAAACCCTAAACCCTAAACCCTAAACCCTAAACCCTAAACCCTAAACCCTAAACCCTAAACCCTAAACCCTAAACCTTTCCCTATGTATAAACCCCAAACCCTAAGCCTGAACAGCAGCTCTAGCGGCCTTGATTGCGACGTCTTTGAGGTCACCGAGGAGACCTAATGACCCCCAGCTCCGGGTCTACAGGGTTTTATCGGGTTCTTCGGGTTTAATCGGAGTTTAGGAGGGATTTTTTTCTGGATTTTCTTGATGAGTTTTCTATGGTTTCAGCGGGTCGGGTAGGGTCTTAAGGGGCCTTTCTCGGGCTTCGGGAAGTTTAGGGCTTATGGTAGGGTGGCTGCTTCGTAGTTAGCTTTCCTTGCCCTTAACGCAGCACTGCGGACTCAAGGGTTTAGGGTTTAGGGTTTAGGGTTTAGGGTTTAGGGAAACACCTTAAGGCGCAGCAAGACGTGCAGATCGAAGCAGTCAATCCCACTTGCCCTTGATCCTACAAGCCTTCGCCTAAGAACCCCCCAGAACCCTTCTAACCCTTGTGGCCCTTATAAGGGGGTTTTTAGGGTTTAGGGTTTAGGGTTTAGGGTTTAGGGTTTAGGGCCGAGAATAGGCGTACCCTTTTTGGGGGGGTCCATTTTAAGGGGGGGGCTTCTATTCTATTGTGGGCATACAAAGGGGCACCCCCCTATTTTGGGAAATGCCCAGTCACCCTTGTAGACCTCATAACTCTTCTGGCCACTTTCGCCCTTACAACCCTCTCCGCCTCTTGGTCCAATCTCAAGCCCCCCGAAACCCCAAACCCACCCAAAACACAGGTTCGGGGTTTAGGGTTTAGGGTTTAGGATTTAGGATTTAGGGTTCAGGGTGTAGGGTGTAAGGTGTAGGGTTTAGGGTTTAGCGTTTAGGGTTTAGGGCAACCTGCCTTCCAGTGCGGACGAAGCCTTCACGGGGTCCTTCTTCTGCGACAAGTAGGTCTGCGCAGTCCAGGTCGCTTGGGTAACCCTAAACCCCAAACCCTAAACCCTGAACCCGAAATATCCAGACCCAAAAAGCGACCTCGGAATAAGCAGGGTACCCGTTTTGGCTTAGAGGGGCTTAGAAGGGAAAGTAAGCCCCCTCAAGCAAGGGAATGAAGGGCCTACTCTGAGCATAAACCCTCCATACTCCCATACACGGTATAGACCCTAGAAACCCTGCGAACAACTTTCACCCCTATAAACCCTGTAAGCCCTACAAAGCCCTATGTACAACCATTACCCCCATAACCCTCTAACCACTACAAACCCTATAAACCTTATAATATATGCGCTAGCATGGTCACACCCCCTCCCCCCCCCCCCCCCCCCCAATGGTAAACCCGAAAACCTTAACCGCTTTAACCCTGATTCCTGAAACCGTAAACCCAGCACCCCATGAACCAAAGGTGGGGGTGGGGAACCCAAAACCCACCATGAAATACAGGGGGGGGGGGGGGGGGGGGGCGGGGTACCATGGGGGGGGGGGGAAGGGGGGGGGGGGGTCGACTACGCGGAGCGCGGGCGTATATAGACCCCATAAACCTTATAGACCCCATAAACTTTACAGACTAAACCCGAAACCCTAAACCCTAAACCTTAAAGCAGAAGTCCAACTTCGGACCTTCGTGGCACCATAGATGGCCCCGCACTTCGTGTGGCCCAAGACCTGGGGTTTAGGGTTTAGGGTTTAGGGTTTAGGTTTAGGGTTTAGGGTTTAGGGTTTAGGGACCGTCTGCACTACCATACTCACAAGGAACTCCTTTTTCAAGAGCGCATGGGTTATACTCTGGGTAACAGACCAGAAGTCCCAAAAACATGCTCTTTCTGGAGTCTACACAGTCTACGTGAACCCTAAACCCTGTATCGAGGAACAAAAGCCTGAACCCTTAACGAAACACCTAACACCCCAAAACCATAGCACCCTAAACCCCACCACCTACAGCCTGAAACCCCAAGAAACCCAAACACAAACCCAAGCCCCAAACCGCAGAATTCCACACCCGAGAACGCCAAAACAAACCCCTAAAACCCTACAGGCTCAACCCTAATAGCACCCTAAAACCCTAAATCCTCAGACCCCAGCCCAGGCTCAGGTTTCACCCTCAGACTCGAACGTGCGTGCTTTGTTTTGCCACGGCTTTTCTTGTTCATGATTTGGGGTTTAGGTTAGTTTAGGGTATTTCCAGGGACTAAAGGAGGGACCCCCTATAAGGGACCTTAGGGACGTTATTTAGGGGCTACTTAGGTATATAGGGACTATAAGGTATATGTAGAGGTGTATATATACAGGGTAATTTCGGGGTCCCTTAAGAATTTGAGGTTTTGGGGTGATATGGGGCTTTGTAGGGTTGACAGGCTTAGATCCTAAACTCTCCTAATAAGGGTTTAGGGCTTCGTGCTTGAAGCGGATGGTTCTTGCAAGCACCTGCAAAAGGACAACCCAATACATACACTCACCAATGTATACTTTCAGAAACCCTCTATACACTCACCAATAAGAGGAATATGGACCCTACTGAATATGGTCAGCGAATTGTGGTGCCCCTTATCAGACCCCCCCCACCCCCCCCCCCGCCCACCCCCCCGCGCCCCCCCCCCGCGCCCCCCGCGCCCCCCCCCCCCCCGCCCCCCCCCCCCCCGGCCCCCCCGCCCCCCCCACCCCGCCGCCCCCCCCGCCCCCCCCCCGCCCCCCCCCCCACCCCCGCCCCCCCCCCCCCCAACAAAAAAAAACATATTGTGACCATATAGGGTTCAGGAAACTCCCCTAAACCTTAAACGCCAAACCCTGAACCCTGAACCCTGAACCCTAAACCCTAAACCCTAAACCCTAAACCCTAAACTCCATTGAAGCCTTTGGGTGGCTTCTTGCAGGCGAAAGCGGCCAGGACCATGCGCGTCTTCAGCTTGCCAGTGCAGAACTCCAGGCTTCCGACCATGCTGCCTCTCGTTATGGGTTTAGGGTTCATGGGTTTAGGGTTTAGGGGTTAGGGTTTAGGGTTTAGGGTTTAGGTCCATGGCGAGCCCGGTTCGAGGTTTAGGGATCCAGGGCATAGGGTCCAGGGTTCAGGGCCGAGGGCTCAGAAGCGTAGACGTAGGGTTTATGGGTTTAGGGTTTAGGGTTTAGACCCTCGATCGTA